TTCAGTTACTTAAATCCGTGTAAATGTTACGTACCGTACACGATAAAGCCTGCAGTTCAGCAGACTGAATTTTCCCCGTTTAATTTCCGGCTCCCTAATTCAGTCTGCGAGCAGGCTATCTGTTTTCATAATGCATTTGAAACGGAAGTATAATTGTCTGTCCTGCCGAAATAACATAAAAGTCAATAATCACTTTAAAAACCCATTGAACACGTATAGAGGTAACTAATGATATATTTATCCTGATATCAGTTGAAAACACTAATTAATTGTTGATGTCCTAATTTTTTGCTTATTTAAGCTTTGCTCTTAACGCTCCTGAAGTGAACATCTATCGACATGTGGTTGTGAAACCAGGTACTAAAATTCCAAGCACCATTCAGTAGGTTTAATATCTACGTCTTCTATTCGTACAGATTTAATTTCAATCTTCTTCAAATGCCGGCGAGTGGGTGTTGTCGAGCATAAATATTATGTTTTAGAAATAAATATATCTTTAGAAATTCGAGTACGTAATGCTAATCAGCTCAACGTCTTCAGATACACGACATTGACATAAAGCCACATTAGCACGCCTCTCTGCAGACATCTTGTTGACTTTGATTCTTGTGAGACTCGTCAGCATAATACACGCATAGGCAATGTCATACCCCAGCCATCGCTGACGTATACACGACCGCTTATAATGTATTTCTTACAGAACCAATATCTTGGTTCGCACTGTATTATTTAGTTGCGGTTATAATTGAATAGCTGGTAATAACCCAAACTTATTGAGACGACTAAACATGACAGTGGACATGCACATTCAAATGATTAAGAGACACCATGGAGCTAAGGAGCTGCTATATTATAATTGCTGTATCTTATATAATTTTCCTGCAAGTACGAGACAAAATTTCAAATTAAACCAACTTCTATCTTACATATTGCAGTTGCCGAGTTCGATTGAAGACGGGCAGAAACTATCGTTATCTCAAGATTTTCATATTTTTCAGTCTTACCTTAAATTTAACAGGTTCCCGAATAATAGAGTTTACGATTCACGACGTAGCTAGGGTACATACAGACGCGGCTCGGGTACAGACGCGCGTTAGAAGAGCTTGGTGACAAGCCCGACCAATGCGTCTTGTGTGATTTCGAAGCGCGCGTTCTTTACGATTCTACGACGGAATTTTGTTAATTTTACGTTGTGATCACAACGCTACGTCAAATTAATATCGAATATTTTTTCGTTCAAAACTTGAAATTAAGTTCTTACCTTTTATTGTTTGATTCATATATTTCTTTAACTACATTTTCTGTGGTATTTATTCGTTACATTTCGTACAAATGAATTTGTTTAGCACATTGTGTTTTTAATATACATTAGTAGCGTCCATATTTTTATCCTATATATACAACTTGAAGATTACTTAAAAGTATATCCGGGATTACAGAAATTAATAAACAACGAATTTCAAGCACAAACTCATCATACCGTTTCTTTCTCGCAAAGTTCATTCACGAAGTTCATTTCCCATTTAAATCCGCTCCTATAAAAACCTGCATAACAAAGATTTTGAAAGACCAAAATTTTCCCGCCTAAATTGATGTTTTACCTGGCGCGTTGTGTTTCGTAACGCAAGGAACAAAATAGGACGAGGCGGCTTGGTCCGCGTTTGTTACCAAGCCTTTCTAAGGCGTCTTCTTCTTAGCCGCGTCGTGACTCGTAAACTGAGCTAAAAATCTCGCGTGGCTATTAGCTGAGCTAAAAATCTCGCGTGGTTATTAGCTTAGCTAAAAATCTCGCGTGTCTATTAGCTGAGCTAAAAATCTCGCGTGGTTATTAGCTTAGCTAAAAATCTCGCGTGTCTATTAGCTGAGCTAAAAATCTCGCGTGGCCATTAGCTGAGCTAAAAATCTCGCGTGTCTATTAGCTGAGCTAAAAATCTCGCGTGGTTGTTAGCTGAGCTAAAAATCTCGCGTGGCTATTGGCTGAGCTAAAAATCTCGCGTGGCTATTAGCTGAGTAAAGACCTTGCGTGGCTGTTAGCCATGCTGCATGTTAGCTCAGCAAGTTACTCTTGTGTGCAGACGTGATTTCAGAGCTCCGTGATTTTTTTAAAGTGATAGAAAGATTTGTACTCTAAATTTGTTCTCAAGTGGCTGTAGAAAGGCTCAATAATGTCAATTCATAATATAATCGATAAAGAATCTAGCAATTCTGTCGAATATGATTTATTTGCTACGAAGAAGAACAAACTAATTTGGGGAGGAACCCTTACGCAACTAAAGACGTTAATTGCGAGTGAATTTAAAGACGTCAATGCAAAGGATATTGTATGGAAGTCACCTGGCGGCGGTAGTTGGACATGCTTTTTAAACGGTAATTTATTATTAACATGGTACAGTAAAAGTCAAACGATTTCCTTCAAAGGGAAAGCAGCTGACGCCATTAAAAGCCGTATTTCTGAAGTTATAAATGTACCTAAACCTTCCTTGTTTGGGGGTTGTTCGACATTGAGTCGTCTGAGCAAGCGACACCTATTCGTCCCACGAATAATCCTTGTTGTGGTGGTTGTTCGTGTGAACTCGCTTTAGATGAACTCAGAGATATCAGGCTACAAATGGAGATTTTACAATCAAGGACTGATGCTCTACAAAGTTTGGAAAGCACACAGAAAGTCTGTCTTTCGTTTAATGAATACCAGCAAGAGATATGTCGTTTAAGTCGAGAATTGACTGAAGAAAAAGATAAAAGAATTCAACTTGAATCGGATTTAGCTTCACTCTATGAGAAGCTTTTCTTTTTAGAGCGTGAAAATAACCTGAGGACGGGCTTATTGGAAAACAAAGAAAATGTCATGCCTGATCAAACATCTTCGGTATCAACAATGACCTTGAATACACAACAAATTGCACGTTGTTTAAATCCAATTCAAATTGAGACACCTGATGACATCCCAGGGGGCAAATACTGGCATACTATCAAAAACTATTAGCGCTTTCCCAAATATATCTGATGGCGTGGATGCTCATACTTTACCCTGCTCTACAGGGTGTATAAAAAAAAACGCAACCACTTAATATTCATGAATATCCTCTTTGTTCTACAACACAAAAGACGTTTGGCCCCTGGAATGAGAGAAAGCTTGTAATCATATAATTATAATTATTCTAGCGGCACAATCGACGGTAAACAAAGTCGGGTGCGTAAACCAACGAGCTGAATTGAAAGTATTTAACGAGTAAAATTTTATTTACAATTTATTTTACAAGGTCGACAGTTAGCATTCAAGTTATCATGGACCATGCCCTTCGACATGTCCACCGTTTCGCTCAACACAAAGCGTTGCTCGACTTTGCATAGCCTGCACAGCGCGTGTAATCATTTCAGGCTGTTCCTTTAATGCATCAAATGTGTCGAGAATTCGCTGTCGTAAAACATTGACATTCTCGGGTGGCGTGGAGAACACTCTGTTCTTCACATAGCCCCAAAGAAAAAAGTCACATGGCGTCAAATCCGGCGAGCGAGGTGGCCACTTAATGTTGTGCCCTAGCGCTATGACGTGGTTCTCTCCAAACACTCGGTTCAGTCGATCTCTGACTTCAATTAGGCGATGAGCTGGCGCCCCATCTTGGGCCCACCAAAGTCCCCGAAACATATCTTCCCATTGCTGATTTCCAAAATGCACGACCAATTGCGGGTAAACGAATTCGTTAAACATTCGTTGGTATGATATGCCGTCCACATTCCGATCAAAGAAGTAAGGCCCAAAAATCAAGCCATTGCCAACCAATGCTGCCCAAACAGTGAGTTTGGCGCGGCTAACATTTCTATCAAAGTTGAAATCGGGTGGGTTTCCTTTTGGTGAGTATTGCCGCACATTTTGGGTGTTGACCTCTCCATTCATTGAGAATGTCGCCTCGTCTCCAATGATAATGCTTCGTAGAAAACCATCGCGTCGACAGCGCTGGAGAAACCATTCTGCGAACCGCACTCGCCGCGGGAAGTCCCTTTCCAACAACTCATGTCGCACATGCATGCGATAAGGGTGCCATCTAAGATCTAGCCTTGTTATTCGGTTAAATCCAGCCGATGATATGGCAACAGGATTCCGGCGAGCACTCACATGAGGATTCTCCTCAAGAAGGTTTCTAACAGCCGCGATGTTTTGAGCAGATCGCGCTGTTCTCCTGCGCCCAGAATTTCCCTCATTAAGGTTATGGCTCGTTCCTGCTCGAGAGTATTTTCTAACGTTTCTCAAGATTGTCGCTTTATGCGGTGGGTTCCGATCTGGAAACCTTGCCAGAAAAGCGTTTTGCACTTCGGTCGTGTTTTGAGTTTGGGTGTAATGCACGACAATAAAAACTCGTTGTTCGGTTGTTAGCTGCACCATTATTAGTTTAGCTGATTTGACTATTAGCAGTTGAACTGTACGACTAGAAGCCATTTTAAAATCCCAGGGGCATAAAATCTTTTGAGCTTATGAACAATATGAATTTTAGAATATTAAGTGGTTGCGTTTTTTTTTATACACCCTGTAATGTAGGAAGTTCAATCAAACCACAATGTGAAATCAGTGCGGAACATGAATGCTATTGTAATGCCTCTAAGACCCCGTTTACACTAGAACGAAAGTTTCCGGATTTGTAAAATTTTCCGGATTCATTGTTACACACATGTATCGGATTCGTCAGGTGTTTACACTACACTTTAGTTGTCTCTGTATGCGGATTTGTCCGTTTACACTCACATTACTTGTTCTTGGAGAATTGGTCGTCACGTTTTTCTAACAACCAAAATGACATTACAGAAAGTCATTCCTCTAAATAATTATATGCTAAAATATAATAAACTTTTAATTCCAACAATCACTTGAAAAATAAGAATAATTATGTCTATAACCAAATTATTCGACCGAAAAATCATTTTGGAAATATGACGTAATGTCAGTTTGGTGGATAGAAAATTATTCGAACACGCGATCGACTCATGGACAGGCCAAGCATCAAAATATGCCTCCGAAAAAGAAAGTTAGAACTCAATCTGTCGGCGATAAAAACGAACAGCAAAACAATTTGATTTGGTCTGATGATGAAGTTGAGATTCTTCTCGGTGTTGTGCAAGCATATGCTTCGGGAAAAGAATTCGGAGGCGTTGAATGGGAGAGTGTTAAGAGCAAGTACGAAGACATCAGATTAGCATTCGTTAGCTTCTATGATCAGAAAGAGCTTAAAGAACATGCTACCAATTTATTTACACGAGAAAGAATTGCTAGCAAAGTCAAGGACTTGAGAAAGAAATATAAAAAAGCTGTAGACTCGGGAAGGCGAAGCGGTGGTGGCCGAACAGTGGCAACTTTCTACGACATTTGCAACAGTATTTGGAGTGGAAGCCCAGCCACAACAAGTCTGGAACATGGAGTTGACAGCACTGAAGGTTTTAAAGCTGAACCTAGTTGTGGTGGTGAGAAAGGTGCTGATGGGCAGATCTCTTTACAAGATTTGAAGTCACCTGTGGACAAACAAGTTGCAGAACAACAGTTGATGGGTGGGCAAGAACATATTTCTCTTCACGAAACTTCTAAAAATTATATTGATGCAAATGATGAAATTCAAGTTGAAGAGGCAAATGTTAATAGTTCTGGCAGGAAAAGTTTCATTTAACACATTAAAGACAAACGTAACTCAAAGTTGTCTAAAACAAAATCTAATGAAAACCAGCAGCTAGCAGTAATGAAAGAGGACTTAGCATTGAAAAAAACTATGATGACAGAAATGAAGAAAATGGATGAAGAGCATAATAAAACTTTGAACAAGTTTGCCAACACCATGGAGAATCTTAGTCAAGCTGTACTGACTGCCCTTGTTAGTAGGCAAGTCATAAATTCATTGCAGAACCAGCTATTGCAACACCAGCCATTGCAGCATCAGCCTTTGCAACACCAGTCCTTGCAACACCAGTATATACACAACATTGGAAAGCCGGCCATAGGTATGCAACCACAGGAAAGGCATGCAAGTGAAAGCACTGTTATGCAACCACATGGAAGCAGAGCAAGTGAAAGTACATCACAACAATCTAATGTTTTTGGTGCTACTAATTCTGTATATAGCATTGCCGAGGATGAGGAAGACTATACTTTTACATAATTTCTTGGCTAAAACAAATTCAGTGAGCAAGGGATTTTATGTTAAAAATGTTAAGGAATAGTTTTATTCACATTTTGTTATATTTATTTTGGGTTAAAAACAAATGTTAGTCATAACAGTTTCACATTTTATGTAAGGATACATAATTTCTTTACATAATTTCTTAGCTAAAACAAATTTAGTGAGCAAGGGATTTTATGTTAAAAATGTTAAGGAATAGTTTTATTCACATTTTGTTATATTTATTTTGGGTTAAAAACAAATGTTAGTCATAACAGTTTCACATTTTATGTAAGGATACATAATTTCTTTACATAATTTCTTAGCTAAAACAAATTTAGTGAGCAAGGGATTTTATGTTAAAAATGTTAAGGAATAGTTTTATTCACATTTTTGTTATATTTATTTTGGGTTAAAAACAAATGTTAGTCATAACATTTATGTTTAAAGAAATTGAAAGTGTAATAATTAAAGTTATTCATATTAACATTTGCTGCTTGGCATGATGATGAATTCAACATTTAACAAACTATGCCACCATAGGAAAACATATGCATGGCACCTTTAACCACAACAAAAATTCTCTGATATGTATTCTTTTTGTGCCTGGTTGTGAACATTTTACCAGTTTGAATGTTAAACAAATCATTTCAACCAAAGGGATTCTTTGTTAATGCTCAAATGCTAAGGATGAAAAACTGATTTCACAATAAAAATGTGAATTAATTAAGGTTTAACTTTGTCATGATATTTATTAAGCCACAAAGCTATACCTGAGCATTGGATATAGGGGCATTGAGAATATAAACAACATTGAAAGAGGCAATTAAGATAAAATTTAGGAATACTTTTAATGATATGATGGGGGGGGGGGGGCAGTAATCCAGTAAAAAACTTGGAAAGACAGCTAATGCAACTAATCAGCACACTTAGTATTCATTAATTGTGATATAATGGATGATGAAAAACAGTAAGATTTAGGACTTGCATTGTCCTGCACACACACACACACACACATTAACACACACACACACACACACACACACACATTAGTCATGTTCCTTTTTACTACCATTACAATGCCTGTTTCTCTTGTAATAATAAGTCACTTTCCCTGATTGATCTGAAAAGATTAATTTTCTTTATCTGTAAAATTATATAACCTTAATCAAAGTATTTCACATAAATTTGTCTGATACTCTTTCCAGCTGTTTCATTGATGGCTGTTCCATAACTTGGGTGGACTGTAGAAGGCTGAAATTCTTTATCATACCTGCATTCATCTCTTACTGCATCTTCAGTACAGTCTCACCATGCACTTCACAAAAATTGTGAAGTACAAAGCAAGAAACAACAGCACTTGGAAGATATTCTATAGAAATATCCATCGACCTCTTCAAAGCTCCCCACCTAGCTTTTAATCGTCCAAATGAACATTCAATAATCATTCTCGCTGAGGATAATTTATATCCAAAGAACTGTTCACTAGGTGTAGTGCCACCACCAGCAAATTCTTTAAGAAGAAATGGAAGTAATGGATATGCAGGGTCGCCTAGTATGCATATAGGTACTGCATCCTCCCCATCTACAATTGTTTTGTAACAAGGGGGAATTGTACCATCTCTGAACTTTGTATTTAGGCTTGAATTCCTAAAAATCCGGGCGTCGTGTACACTTCCAGGCCATTTGCACACCACATCAAT